TAACAGTCCCCGGCGGCCCAGCTATTCCTGGCTACGGTGGCGACCATGGTAACGGCGGGGCAGGGGGTGCTAAGAATCTCCGGTGGAGGTTCGGTTGCCACCTACGACGACCCAGAGTTTATTATCCAATATAAATTTCTTATTAATATAATAACCCTTTTTATACAAATTTAGTTTGATGAATAAAATACGAACTGGGGGAGACCAAATCTAGTTTAGATCAATTGCCAAAAGACGTTTGCGCGTTTACCGCTAAAGACCTCTTTGTGGTATCTACTCAGTTTTAAGGCACTCCACTTGTTGCCTTAGCCAGTATAGAATCTCGGTGTCAACATATGGAGTGACGTGCAGTTTCGTGGTCACTTGGAAAAAAAGGCCAATTTGGCCTCTAATAAACTCGGCGTGCTAAACAAAGCGGGACAGTATTTCCAATCGGCTTGACTCACTGGCACTGCGAGGATATGTTACATTATTTTGCATACTTTATGATATTTACCACGGGGGGTGCTCAGAGAAATTATTAGGACTAATTCCACGACGCACAATTTCACCATTACATATCGCGACGAAATTCGCGATATCATCCATACCATCTGGACGACTGGCGGTCTACCACTGTGCGATAAAAAAAGTTTTCTTCCTCGCACAACTTCCTTATTGAATCGACTACAACCGGAGATTTTTCCTGACCAATACGTCTTAGGGACCTTCAAAAAAAGAGTCTAATCCTTTTTAAGGGTGGCTACGCATCTGCAATTCCGTTTGTTTTGCAGTTTTTCATGGGTGGCGATAATCACTTAACATCAGTTGAGCCGAATGCTCGTTTGGCCCCTCTTCTTAAAAAGAAAAGTTTAATGCTTATAAAACTGTTATAATTACCGTTTATCAAAAAGAGACGGTTAGACAAGTTTAACTGTGGTAGAGCCACGCGGCAGCTTTGCTGTCGCACGTATGGGCCGGCTCAAACCGGGGTGGTACCACGACCGCACAGAATACCGGCGTGAAGTGGAAGCTCTGCTTCCGCGTTTCGTCTGGGGAGGGCAGGTGGCCGGAGGCCCAAATCCCCCCCCCCATCAACATGGTAGCGGAATTCAATGATAGACTACCCCAGGAGGGTACCAGCACCCCTGGAGAATCCCTCGCTGAGCATCCACGACCATGTTTTTCCACTTCTGAGCGAGGGTGCTCAGGCTGCCCCGCGTATTCTGGGGGGGGCAAAATTCCGCTCAAGCCTAATACTGCTCGGGGCAAACGGAGCAACAAGACCAAGGCGACCCCTGCCACGCTGTCCGTGAATTTCTGCAATATCAGGGGACTTCACTCCAACCTAAACGCCGTCCACTACCATCTCGAGACGGCGAGGCCGGCTCTGCTCTTTCTGACCGAGACGCAGGTGTCCTCTCCGGCTGATGTCTCGTATCTCTCCTACCCGGGGTACAAACTGGAACACTCCTTTGTGCCTCGGGCTGGAGTTTGCGTTTACGTCAGAGAGGACATCTGTTCTCGACGCCTCGGCAGACTTGAAGGTTCGGACCTGTCCATCCTTTGGCTACGCGTAGACAGCGACGACCATCCGCGCATCTACGGGTGCCTCTATAGGTCCCACAGCGGTAATGCCGAAACAGACCGACTCTTCGACCACGTCCAAATGGCTGCAGATTCGTTGCTACAGCAGATCCCCTCCGCAGAGATCGTGATCCTCGGCGACTTTAACGCCCATCACGCCGAATGGCTCGGTTCACGTTTAACCGATCATGCGGGGAGATCTGTTCATGATTTTGCCTTGTCATATGGTCTGACACAACTGGTTACTTCGCCTACGCGGATTCCAGATGTGGAGGATCATGCACCTTCCCTGTTGGACCTTCTGCTGACCTCTCACCCGGACGGATATCAGATTTCCGTCGACGCCCCTTTAGGCTCCTCGGACCATTGTCTTGTCCGGAGTGTGGTGCCACTCACGCTGAAATCGCGGTTGCATTCTGCAGGCTGCCGCCGTGTTTGGCACTATAGGTCAGCCGATTGGGATGGGATGCGGTCTTTCTTTGCATCCTACCCTTGGGGGCGGGTTTGCTTCTCGCCGGACGATCCCAACGTTGTTGCGGATTCTGTCGCTGATGTGGTACTTCAGGGTATGGAACTTTTTATTCCTTCCTCTGTGGTGCCCATTGGAGGCAAATCTCAGCCATGGTTTGGTCGCTCCTGTAAAATAGCATCATGCTATAAGCAGGAGTGCTACCAGGCCTGGGCTGACGCATCAGCGTCCAGGGATGTAAACACCAGCGCTCTAAAAAAGAAGTATAATTCCGCCTCTAGGTCCTTCAAAAGGGTCATTGCCAAGGCAAAGTCAGAGCACATAGGCAGAATTGGCGAGAAACTAGTTCGTCTTCCTTCTGGAACCCGTACATTCTGGTCTCTCGCCAAGGCTGTCCAGGGGAATTTCTGTCAGCCATCTCTTCCATCTCTGCACAGGGAGGACGACTCACTGGCCCACACCGCAAAGGAGAAAGCCGATCTTCTAGGCTCTTTCTTTGCGTCTAACTCGACTCTCGATGACGGGGGGAGTACGCCGCCGACCATCCCGCGGTGTGAGTGCTCCATGCCGGAAGTGCAGTTCACTCAGCGCTCGGTTCGCAAAGCACTCCTCTCCCTGGACATCCACAAGTCGAGTGGGCCTGACGGAATCCCCCCAATTGTGCTGAGGACGTGTGCTCCAGAGTTGGCACCGGTTTTAACGCGTTTTTTCCGGTACTCCTACTCCCTAGGCGTAGTCCCAAAATCATGGAAGACGGCTTTCGTCCACCCGATCCCTAAAAAAGGCGACCGCTCAGACCCGTCCAACTACCGGCCTATCGCCATCACCTCCTTGTTCTCCAAAACAATGGAGTCCATTGTAAACTGCCAGCTCATGAGGTACCTTGAGGATCACCAGCTGATTAGTGACCGCCAATACGGTTTTCGCCGTGGTAGGTCAGCTGGTGATCTTCTGGTCTACCTAACTCACAGATGGGCGGAGGCAGTAGAGTCCAAGGGGGAGGCATTGGCCGTTAGTTTGGACATTGCGAAGGCCTTCGATCGGGTTTGGCACAAAGCGCTTCTTTCGAAGCTCCCTTCCTATGGGCTTCCCGAGAAATTGTGCGATTGGATCACCAGTTTTCTTGCAGATCGGAGCATCAAGGTCGTTGTAGACGGTGCAAGCTCCGATTGCAAGCCTATTAATGCTGGTGTTCCACAGGGCTGCGTGCTATCGCCAACGCTGTTTCTTCTGCATATCAATGATATGTTGCAGACCCGTAACATTCATTGCTATGCAGATGACAGCACTGGTGATGCTCTTTACACCGGCCGAGCCAATATTTCTCGGGAAAACGTCTCCGAGTGCCGGGACAAACTTGTGTCTGAAGTCGAGTCTCTGCTGGACAGAGTCTTGGATTGGGGGCGACTAAATCTAGTCCAGTTTAACCCCCAGAAGACACAAGTTTGCGCGTTAACCGCTAAAAAGAACCCCTTTGTCGTATCCCCTCAGTTTCAAGGCACTCCCCTTGTTGCCTCAGCCAGTATCGGAATCCTCGGCGTCGACATATCGAGTGACGTGCAGTTTCGTGGTCACTTGGAAGGGAAGGCCAAATTGGCCTCTAAAAAGCTTGGCGTGCTCAGCAGAGCGGGACAGTATTTCATGCCGGCACACCGCCTGCAACTTTACAAGGCGCAGGTTCGGCCGCACATGGAATACTGTTCCCATCTCTGGGCTGGGGCTCCCCAGTACCAGCTCCTTCCACTTGACCACATCCAGCGCAGAGCGGCTCGAATCGTCGACGACCGAGTGCTTTCCAATCGGCTCGATTCTCTGGCACTGCGAAGAGATGTTGCATCCCTTTGCATTTTCTTTCGCATATACCATGGAGAGTGCTCTGAGGAATTGTTCGGATTAATCCCAGCCGCCAAATTTCGTGAACGCACTACATGCGGCAAACGTCCCGATACCATCCACACCATCTGGATGCTTGGCGGTCCACCACTGTACGTTTCAAAAGGAGTTTTCATCCGCGTACAACCTCTCTGTGGAATAATTTACCACCAGCGATTTTTCCGGACCGATACGACCTGGGGACCTTCAAGAAAAGAGCTTACTCGTTTCTAAAGGGCCGGCAACGCGTCTGCAATTCCCCTGGTGTTGCAGTTGATCATGGGCGGCGGTAGTCACTTAACATCAGGTGAGCCACATGCTCGTTTGCCCCCTATTCTATAAAAAAAAAAAAACAAAAAAAAGACAAATTAGTCACAACAGAGATCAATGGTAAATAAGTACCATTCTCCACTGGATTTAAGTACTCGAGCGTAACAATTGACCAAAAACTAATGTGGAACTCAAACGTGGAAACGTGGAAGGCAAAAATTGTTTCACGACGCGGAGTCGTTTGTTTGAGAACAACTGGGGCTTGTTAGACCTGGATAGTTGCTCGAAGATAATGTTGCGTGCCTAAGTTGATGTCATGTACCCGCATGCACTAGCGCCATCTAGTGTCGGGGACGAGAGCGAGGAGGTCTTCCTAGAAAATGTCAATCTTGACTTTCAACCAACAGCGCCATCTAGTATCGAACAGAAGAATTAAGCTTTCTGGAAGCCCCACACTCGAACTTTCTGCGACTGGTCGGTTGGTGCGCGTATTTACTTGAATATTCTGGACGTTTCGGTGAAAAATGTGTATTTAAAGGCGCTGCAAGACGCGGTCGGAGCAGTACGGAATTTGGCGAGACAAGCGAAGCTTCGGAGCGAAATAAAGTGAATCAGTGTGATTAATTATTAGTGTCTTTTAAGTAAAGTGAATTAAAGTGTAAAATTTGTAAATTAAATCGGCAGTTTTTATTGTCACGAATTCTAAAACCGTAACAATAATTAAAAAGAAACATAGAGATGAGTGGCATAATCTAAAAAGTTTATAGAATGTAAGATTGCTTTTTATCGTAACTATAAAACTTAAAAACACATGTTATAGTACCTTTTGCACTTAGCAGCTGCCGCAACGATGAGGTTGGATACAAAGTCAACAGGAATTAGGTCTAAGAGGTTAGTGCTCTTACTAAGTATAATACGATTAAGACCTTTAGCAATGGTGGCGAGAAGAGCTGTGGCACCGAACCAATTATCCAGCCATCCCGTCAGTGGTTCACGAAAACTTGCTGATACTGAAATTGAAAATGTAGAATTTTACTATCTCCGTATCGTCACGTTCGTTTTATCAAACTTAAGTGACAAACGAGTTTACAGTACGTCTGATGGTAAGTGTACAACCAGCGGTAAACAAGAAAGCTATAAGATGCATTATCGCCTCTGAGAATTAAGATGTGATGCTTCACAGTCTGTTATACTAGCTATACTAGCTGTCAATATCCTTCAGACCGGAACAAAGTAGTACCTAGACATATTGAGAAACAGCAGCAGAAACAGGAATGACGGTGGTCCTTATTCAAACGGAACCCTAAGCGGAAAAAGGGATCCACCACATAGTTTACAGTCCAAATACTTTTCTCTAAAGACCATAGGTCTCTTTTAATTCTGAAAATTATGCAATCCTTAGTATACGGCACAGTTTCCGTGCTTGTTGGTGTTGCTCAAAATATTTAACTAAGAGCTCATCAAATCAGCATTTTTTCCGGTTGCGGTGTTTGAATAGTACGAACGTCATAAAGTGTGCTACGAAAATATAAATCCATAACTGTTTAAGAACTGCATAAATCTACAAAGTGTGCAATTGTATCGAAAAATTAAGACTAAAAGTGCAAATAAAGTATTAAAAATCGTGTGTGTTTTGCCCAGAACAAAATAAGTGCTAATAAGTGCAAATAACTTTGTCTTCTCACACATAAATAATAATTAATTTTTACATATAGCGGTGCTACCAACATCAGAGAAAAATTACTTTGCCTTGGATACGTGTCTTTTAAGCCTATGACGGAACATTACGTTTCGTTCCACCATAGACTAAATAACCTGCGTTCACAACTTAGAAGAATTCTTCCGAGGCTTATAATATTACTTTCCACTCCATGAAAAGGGTGAGTAGCGAAAATGGAAAACCTTCAATCTCTTTTCGACCAAATTAAAATATAAATGTCAAAACAAACCGATGACATCATGACACAAATCGATGAAAAATTAGTTCTTTTACAGTTGAATTGCAGGAATTAAGGTCAGAAAATGAGAAATTAAAGGAAAAAATAAAAAATCTAGAAAAACATGCAAGGTCAAATAACCTAATTTTATATGGAGTAAAAGAAACTGAAAAATCGACCGAGAATCTCATCAAAATCATTATAAATAAATTTAAAGACGATCTAAATATTACCATAGAAGACAGAGACATAAACATGATATACAGAATTAGCAAAAACAATATAGAAAATGGCAAGGACAGGCCAATCCTCCTGGCATTTGTAAACTTCTGAAAGAAAAACTCAATAATGGTAAATAAAAAGAAACTTAAAAATGTTTATGTGTCTGAAGACTACCCGAAACAAATCCTCGACAAGAGAAAGAAACTACAGCACAAATTGGGAGAAAAAAGGAAGAAAGGAAATTATGCATACATAAATTATGACAAGCTAGTTATAAAACAGAGGAAATCAGGAATTGAGAAACGCAAAAGCGAACCGTCAACCTCGCCCAATGCAAAAGAACACCCCCGTAAACAAGTGTCAACTAAAACACACAGTCTAAATGCTTTTGATTTAAGGAGGCATAGAAGCAACTCTTTGCCTTCGGACAACTCGCCAACTGATCAGAACGCATAGGAAATTGCCATCAGCTACCGGAACAAAACAATAAATAAACAAGAACTTAAAGATAACAGAAACAAAACATTCCCCAACCCGACTTGTCGTCGTGGGGAATCAGACTGCAACCCTCCACTAAATACAGAAACAGATCGAGATATAAAACAAACCCTTAAAATTTGCACCTATAATGTAAGATCACTTGCATCAACAGAACAGACTTTATATTTTGTTACATCGGTGAAACCAAAGGACTACATGGTGTAGGATTTCTGATCAAGAAAAAATATAAAAACAACATTGCCAACTTTATAGGAATCTCAGAAAGAGTAGCACTCTTACAAGTAAAATTTGAATGCTTCTCCTTATCAATCAAACAAAAAAATAAAAAAGAGAAAAAAAGAAAGAATAAAATAAAAAAAAAAAATAAATTATTATTAAATAAAATTTTGTTTTATTAAAATAAAATAAAAGGGGCGGGGGAAAAAAAAAAAAAAAAAAAAAAAAAAAAGAAGTGGAGAAAATACAAAAGTTAACCCCCAACAATAAGGTTTTCAAAAAAGTAGATTTTAGGAATGCTAAAAAATTTTAAAAATTAAATAAATTAAAATAATGGATTTAAAAACTTAGACCAAACCAAAAAAAAATAAAATTAAAGAGGATATAATAAGAAATAAAAAAAATTTTTAAAAAAAAAAAAAAAAAAAAAAAAAAAGGAAAAAAAAAACAAAAAAGGAAACATTGTGAGTTTACGAATTTCTCCATCTTAATCCGCCATTTAACGCAACTATTTAACATGACACTAGACGAAGAAAAAATACCAACACAATGGTGTACATCAGACATAATTCTGCTCTTCAAAAAGGAAACTCCTTGGACATAGGGAAATATAGACCCATAAGTCTAATGGCAAGTATATACATATTATTTTCATCTGTAATACTAAAGAGAATATCCGACGACATTGATAAACAGAAATCAAAGGAACAAGCGGGATTCAGATCAGGCTTTAGTACAATGGACCACATACAGACATTAGAACAGGTTATAGAAAAGTACAGAGAATATAATAAACCTCTGTATGTGGCCTTTATTGACTACAACAAAGCTTTTGACAGTATCAGTCACTGTTCAATCTGGAACGCATTAAAACAATCAAAAATTAATTCTAAATACATCAAACTCTTGAAATACATTTATAAAAATAGTACGAGCAGAATAAAATTAGAAAATAGAGGAGACGAAATAAACATAGAACGAGGCGTCAGGCAAGGAGATCCTCTATCTTTTAGCATACTTGAAAGTATTTTTCAAAAACTAGAATGGAAAAACAGGGGAGTGTACATCAACGGACACTATTTAAACCAACTGAGGTTCGCTGATGGCATTGTTGTAATAGCTGTAACCGCCAAAGACCTAGAGGAAATGATCACATCGCTTGACTGCGAAAGTTCCAAAATCGGCCCGGAAATCAGTGCAGGTAAAACTAAGATAATAACCAACAATCGTGAACGACCGATAGCGATAAAAGGCAACAATATAGAATATGTCAGCGAATACACTACTTGAGTAAGCAAATTTCATTTAAAACATCAAGCAATGAAGAAGAAGTAACAAGAAGAATTAACGCAACTAGGAAGAAATTTTGGGCATTAAGAGAAATCCTAAAAGGGAACTACAACTTGCACATGAAAAGGACAATATTTGATACATGTCTATTACCCTGCTTACTGTATGGCTGCCAAACTTGGGTATTCACAAACAAAATTAAACAAAAAATCAAATGCAGTCAAACAGCAATGGAAAGAAGCATGTTGGGAATTAGAAGAATACATAAAATTAAGAACCAAGTCATTCGTCAAAGCACCAAACTTGCAGATGCCCAACAATCCAATCAAGCACGCACTCTTATTAAAGTGGAGATGGGCCGGGCACATCTCACGATACCCAGATAGAAAATGGACCATTGAAGCCACACTGTGGAAAGGGCCAAAGGGGAAAAGGAACGTCGGTCGACAATGAAGACGGTGGGCTGATGACATTACATAAGTCGCAGGAAACAACTGGATGAAGTTAGGCAAGGACAGGGAGTCATGGAAAAGGATGGAGGAGGCTTTTACCCAAACAGGGGTCAATATCTCATAAACAATACTAACATTTATTATAAGTATTTCTATCATAATTTTAAACTATAACTTACTAACAAATACAGAAATGTAAAAAGAAAGTAAAGATATGGAATAAATGGCTTTATTATTATTATCATCATCATCAAATCAGCATTTAAAATTTATATATAATGCGCCGGCGGAGATCGAACTTTGGATGCTCACATGCTGCGAAATTTACAAACAGCGCTTAGCTGCCAACCTAAAATCAATAGGTAACAAAGTGCCTAGACCGGCAACGGCTATCAAGGGCAGGAATACGCCTGGTACTACCTACCAAACGTGATGGTTAAGGCAAGTCTTCTTTAAAGTGCGAGTGGCCCATGTCCAGCTGTGGACCATTACAGGTTGCTGAAGAAAGGAAGAAGAAAATTCATTCAATATGCAGTATTCGCATCAACATAATATATCGCAACTTTTTTCTCGTTTGCGCCGAATTTCTCTAACGTGAATTAGCTGGCTGGCTGGCTGACCAATCCACGCGACGGTTTTTTTTTCGGAGCAGTAAATTTGTGGGCAACCATCAAAGAACGTTTGCGGACAGATCTTGAATGATGAGTTTGGGCTTGAATCCAATACCCATGAGCACTCAAGCTCTAATTCAAAAAATTGAGCATTTGAAAGCTTCAGCATTTTCTTGGGTGAGAGCGGTCGATATTTAACCAGTATTTGCTTTCTCACCCTCTTATGAAATGAACAAACCAATGTAAAATTGATTTGTGACAGCCCAAAACATTTTGTAGCTTCAAATCTTTTATCGTTTCATGAAAATTAAGTTAACTGAGCTTAGTGGTCTGGGGTCAAATGTGACGAGCTTAAATTCCGATGAATTTTTACAAAAAAAATTCCATAATAAGTATTGAATTATCGAATTTATCAGCAAATATCTAGTCTTTAGATGATTTGTTATAAATGTTACAAATTTGTTATAAATTATATTAATATCTTTATTATAATGGATTTCCGCAAAGTAACGCCTGATTCTATCGATTATTTATTACTTGCCAGTGTTAAATAAACTAGTAAAGTGTACCTAAAGTATTTTGATGTGCTACTTTTATGATGTAAGCAGAAATATTTTTATATAAATAGGTAAAACATACCAATGGATGGTCTGATGATTATTGTAGCAAAGTCACCACGTTCTTGACTCACGAGGCTTTCCGCAAGTGCTTTAGCAAAGGTATAAGTATTAGGCCTGCCACCTGAAATTGCATCAAAACAGTGACTTTTTTGACAATTGCTATTCATTGATATGTTTATTTTTGTAAGTAGTTCTTAATAAATAAATATATATATATATATATATATATATATATATATATATATATATATATATATATATTCAGAATCTCTGATTTTTATAATATTTAATATGCAGGGGGTTTCGGGGACAGTAAATAGATCTAGCTAGGATTCATTTTTAGAAAATGTCCGTCGATCCGAATTCGAACCAGCGACCTATGAACCAACCATGTACTAAAAATACTGCAGTTGTGTTATGTATGCAGCGTAAATGGGAAATCGCTTCGAATATAAAATCTACATTATAAAATATTCATTTTCGAGGTGAGATATACAGAATTTCAAAACAGATACTACAGAATCCACTTCGTTTAGTTAACCACAAACGTTTAGTTAATTAAACATACACACCAGGTGTATGTTTAATTAACTAAACGTTTTTTCGTAAAAATTAACACGTTTTTAAAAGCATTTGTATGGTTAAGAAATTTAATTGTACTAAAAAGAAAATATAATTTTGCTTACAAATAAGTTTTTTTAGCTTATCTTCATTGGTTACTTCCTGTTCCAGAATTTTGTATACTTCATCAATTGAAGCAGGAGATGAATAAACGATTTCCTCCAGAACTCGTTTATGTGTGTTAGAGTAGGCCGTAGACACGTACACGAAAACCTTGACAAAATATTATTATCAGAAGATATTTGTTGTGCTTTTTTATTGTGATCCTTATTAAATACTAGAATTTTCATATTATTTACTGAAATATTTAATAAAAAATCAAAAATTGAAATAAATTATTGATTTACTGTACTTGACGTACTTAATTAACACACTGTTCAATGGAATAGTGGTTAAATCTATACATACATATAAAAAAACTTGACGTGTCTATCTGTAATCAAAATAACTGCCTTTTAATAAGCTTTAATAATCTAAAACACACAAACGGTGCCATAATATTAGTAGTATATTAGCAAATTCCATATCCAGCAGTGAAAAGTTTTAGAGTTTAGTGACGAACAAGCCCACACTTTACCTGATGGTAAGTGGATGCTGTGGATCAGAGAGGAAATCCACTCTCGATTAGTTAGCAAAATGCAATGGCATTGTCACTCCCAAGGGTAAGATGAAATAAATCACTACCAACAAGAAGGAATCCAACGCGAGCATATTCCTTTACTGCGTAAGGTAAGTATTTTGCCCCTACTAATGGATGGCGCATAAGTTACAGTCGATTCGCCATAAATTCGTTAATCGATTGCTAGAAGACAATTTTTTTTTATTTTGCAATCATTTAACCCTACAAGTGCCATTAAATCCCATGTATTCTCATGCACCCGGCAAATCCCGAGCGGTTGCATGTGACCGCACCCACCCACAGCATTTAAAACTGTTAAAACTTATATTTAGAGACCACTTTTCTACAAAGAAGTTTAGCATTATAAAATCTAAAAAAAATCTCTATCTTGTGGTTTAAACAAAAGTCAAGTTTTACTTCATTACAAAAAGATTTTATTGTATTTTTAACAAAAAAACATACCAAGCGAATGTCGGCAGCGTGAAAATCACAATTATTTCAATATATATAACTCGAGAAATTATATTCACACTAAAACTTTAATTACAATTTTACAATAAAACACTATAGTAAAACACTAATAAAAACTAGAAAAATCCAAAAATCAACACAATAACATTCACGCGAAAATGGCGTATGAAATAAACGTAAAAACGTAGAATAAATATTCATAGGATAACATTTTTTTATTGCACTAGATGATAGAGTATTTCAAATTGATTATATAATACCAAACTTCTTCATAGAAAAAATGTCTCTATGTATAAGTTTTATGGGTTAAATTGGGACTTGTCCATCGTATACCCTAACATGAATCACTAGCCCATTTAATGTTATTAATTATACTACGTGGATGGCCCATATATATATATATATATATATATATATATATATATATATATATATATATATATATATATATATATATATATATATATATATATATAATTATATGGATTAGAACAGAAGTTTCGCATCGTCGCCGTTTGGTTGGGATAATAATAATAATTGACACAAAGTAAGGATTACATTATTTATCTTTAAGACATTTGAACAAGTGGTATGAGTTATAACAATTTTATTCACTGGTGTCTAAACTAGGCCGTGCCGGTATCTTAGACACTAGTCACTTCCAAAGGCACCATTGCTTACAGTTACAAAAGTATACGGCATATTATGATTCATTTAATCTATTATGTTACAAATTCGCAAATACATTACCTCTTTTTTGCGTTTACCGTCACACAATATGAAAGGTTAGACCACTATTTTTAGGAACTTTCTTAATTTATAATTCCATACATGATTATTGTTATCACAGGGCAAAGAATTTTTTTTCGTGATATGTTACATGAAGTATTGCAAAGATATGTTATGATATATAACTTAAGCAATTCTACAGGTACTTAACAAAGGTTATGCAATGTACAGTGAACAGACATAGAAATATTATATAATTATTCAATTAATAGTTTTTGTAAAGCTTTTTTTTTAATTTTTTAATTTTGTTTTAAATTACATTTGACTTAATTAAATATAGTTTTATTAATAGCTATAGAGGTGAAATAATTTTTATCAATTATAATTATGGTACTTTTAGTAGATGCGTATTATTTTGATGTAATATTATTTTAAAGTGATCAAGAAATTTACAGTTTCTTATGTATTAGAGTTTTTAACCAAGATAATAGTAGTTTTTTACATTAATATTTGTCAAGCGACGAGTAAATTTGTAGAATTTTATTTATTATATATATATATATATATATATATATATATATATATATGAAGTGATGGTTTTTGAAGGAGGTGAAAGCAAAACGGTATGTGAAATAAGAATAGAAGGCGAGTTAATTGAGCAAGTGGATGAGTTCGTATTTTTGGGATGTGTATTCAGCAGGGAGGGGAGATATGATAAGGATATTGAACGACGAGTGAATGCAGGAAATAAAGTACATGGGGCTCTACACTCTATTGTGAAAAGTCAGAATGTGTCAAAAAAGGCACGTATGGCAATTCACAGTGCTGTATTAGTCCCTACTTTAACGTATGGTAGTGAAAGTTAGGTGTGGCAGAAGAAGTACGAGAGTAGAATAAATGCAGTAGAAATGCGGTCGCTAAGGATTATGTTAGGGCTGAATCTGAGTGACAGGGTGAGAAACTGTGTGATAAAAGAAGAGTGTGGTTTGCAAGATGATGCGGTAACCAGTATTAAGAAAGGAATGCTTCGGTGGTTTGGTCATGTAGAAAGAATGAATGCGGAAAGACTGACAAAGCAAATATATGTTGCAGAAGTAAATGGAAGAGTCGGAAAGGGACGTCCTCGGCGGAAGTTTGTTGACCAAATTGGCGATATAATAAAAATGGGCCAAATTATGATTACCCTTAACCGACGAGCATGTATGCGTAGGTATATGGATGTGGAAGAGGCGAGAAAGGTATGTCAGGATCGTGCTAAATGGAAGTCTGTAGTCTCTGCCTACCCCTCTGGGTGACAGACGTGAGTGTTTATGTATATATATATATATATATATATTAAACAATAAAATTACATTAATAAGCATAAAGTTAAGATAAATACATTAGACTTAAGGCAAAATTTAAAAAAAATATCTTTCAGAATAAATAAATTTATTAACAAAAAACTTGTAAAAATATTTAAAATATGATAAATAGTAGAAATACAAGTCGAAAATATTACAAAAATAAAGACAAATAACATTTATGAGAGGATAATGCTTTTGTATCATAGACCTTACTTTTATAAGTCATTAATATATAGGACTTCAACCCACGACCCAACTATTGTAATGCAAATTCATCACAGAGACCTTCTATAGTATTGATTTTGTATCATTGAGTTTATTATCATAAGTCCCTAATATAGGACTAGTCATCGGACAATTTTTAACAAATTTTGTAATTATCTTATAATATAGAAGGTCTCCTTGATATGTAAGCATTGTATGGGGTGGTGGGGTGACCGACTGCTCTTAGTACTGTAGCAAAATGACTAGTCCTTATTAGGGACTTTAAAAGGATTGTTATGGAGGCGTCGAGGTAAACTTGGACTCACTAACCGATGTGTCCTGGACATATCATCTTAGTGCCGGTGGTAAGCGGGTTTGTTGTAGCAATACGGCTTTCCCGTGGACATCGAACACCCATACCGTTTGTGGGCAGCGTCATAGCGCATAGCGATGCGTCATCTATCTTTCGGATTGGGATGAGTGTGTTTGGTAAAACTTTTAAGTGTAACAAGCATACTGAACTTCATGTATTATTGCATTACCGCTATGATACGTGGAGTTATGTCCACTGACGTCTTAGTAGCGTGCTATTATGATACGTTGGTGCAGTTTTAGTTAACAACATATTAGTGCCGGTGCTAAGTGGGTTTGTTGTAGAAATACGGCTTTCCCGTGGGCATCGCACACCCATACCGTTTGTGGGCGGCGTCGTAGCGCATAGCGATGCGTCGTCTATCTTTCGGACTGGGATGAGTGTGTTTGGTAGCACTTTTAAGTGTAACAAGCATACTAAACTTCATGTATTTGTGCATTAGCGCTATGATACGTGGAGTTTTGTTCACTGGCGTCTTAGTAGCGTGCTACTATGATACCTTGGTGATATTTTTTAGTTAACAACAATACAAACTTTGTCACCAAAGTCCATAAGGATCATGTGGGTGTGTTGTGAGGGGGCGCCATCCGTATGATAGTTGCATTGATGCTTGCTGCTTCTTGCGGTATTGCGTCTTGTGATGGATCTGCGGGTGTGCTACGCCTGATTCGACGCACTCTTCCGGTTCTGGTCGATGGAGGTATGCGGGTGGTGATGTCTGCTGGAATATATGGGGACCTTGGGATGGTGTAAGCCCGACGATAGTTGTATTGCTGCTTGTTGCGTTCTGCAGCATTGCGTCTCTGCGATGGTTGTTTGGTGGGACGCTATTCTCAATGGCGCTCTCTGCGTCTTGGTTTAACTATCACCTAAGTAGCTTTGCCCATGTCGGGTCCCTTCATTACGGGGCTGCAGACTATCTGCCCTCCACGATGTTTTTTATAACAACATAATAATATATCTATGTAACTTTCCCACCTTTGAATGATTGAAGGCAACTTGTTGGTGGGTGAGATAAACATGATCGAAAATGCACTTACTCAACGTCAGTGACACAAAACCTTTCTGATGGCAAATTATTACCTTATATCTGACTTTTATTATCTTATAATAATTATAAGATAATAAAAGTCAGATATAAGGTAATAAAGGCAATTACGAGTATTGCCTTTTGGCTATATCTGCCATTGTATTGGTTGGTACTACCAACAGCTTTCAATTGCTCTAGTGAATATTCATTCTTCTAAAAGACACCTAAAAGAACTAAGTTACTAAACAAACACAACGTAAATAAGGGTCCTAACTAAGACGATAACGCCAAAAATATTACAACGGCCTATTATTAAACCTTTTGAAGATCATTTAAAAAGATCAAAACATATTATATTTATTTTGGTCACATATATATATATATATATAATTTTATTGAAAAGGGGTAATTTAATTATACATAATATATTTAATATGATAT